TCGTAACAGAAATTAAAGAGCTTCTGACAGTCAGGATCAGGATCAAGTTCCCACGTCCATTTGCATGAGTGGAACGTGGTTGTAAAAATATAAACAATCATTCCCATGATGAAAATGCCTGGTTGAAAACGCGAGGACCGTATTGATTAGCAAGTCTTATTTCCACTGAGGGCTATTCAAATTCATCATACTTGATTCTGTATTTCATTAATAGTTTTATTTTGAGTGATATATCTGTTAAAAAGGAAAGAAAGAAAATTTAAAAAAGAGGGACGGGTCGATCTTTATAAGTTAAGAATAATCGGGAAGAAAGAACTGCAGAAAAATAAATCGTTGAGCCACTAATAGTTATGTTCGTTGCTCCAAGCATGTGTCCTCGTTACCCAGTGGGTTACATTGGCAGTGGCGCTCAACCACTGCGTCAAAGCCAGCCCTTCTTATTGCTTTTTGCGATAAGGATTAATGCAAATGTTCATTTTCTTTTCAGCAGTTATTCTTACTTTGATATTGCAAGAAACTGGTAAGAGGTTAATTCAAATTTTAACATTTATGTATTTGAAATTCAACTACTAAAGGAAGAAAAAAAGAATTAAAACACAATATATTTTCAACTTAAGATCATTTTCAACCTTAAGAATAGTCAGTAGGTGAATACCTGTTGCTTCAATAAGATTGGGATTCTAGAAATAACTTGAACATGAAAATAACACAATTAAAGAATAAGCGTTGCTCTTATCCTGATCTTCCCATATTCCACTTTTAAAACTTTAACCTATCTTCCAATGTTCCCTTCTGTGCGATAAAAATTTGTGCTCATTGTTTGTTATTAACATTTTTCTGTAATCAAGAGTTTTGTCACCATTATCAATAGTTTTTCTATCATAAGCATAACCTGTCTATCTAATTGTAGGTATTATTATTTATTCATTTATTTATCTATTTGTTGATTTTTTTTTTTTTTTAAGAATGCCAAGATTCCTGTTTCAAAAATTCCTGGTACACATTTTCGAAATGGGGGGGAAAATGGAATGAAAACAAAGATTCGTGCCAATACCAGGGAGGGTATCTAGTTTCCATCGAAACTGAAGAAGAATGGCAGTTCATTACACAAGAAATTCAAAGTCGCAATACTTGGAAGACTGGTGCCTGGCACATAGGTTTGAAAAAGACACATGTGACTTGGATTTGGGAGAGTGGACCCCAACTGAATAATCAGATGCATAAATGGCGAAATTCTGAACCAAATGGTAACGACAAATACGCGGAAATAACAAAAAATGAAGGCCTCTTAAATGGTGTCTCTGGGAATGATCAAAAAGCCTTCATTTGTGAAATTCCCGAAGGTAACTGACTACTTCACCCACGAAGCACATTGAGTAATGAAACATGCCCACCTTGCACTGTTTCAAGAGGGTTTCGCTTGCAAAATTCATTTTGAAAAAAGAAATATATTTCTCACAAAATATTTTCAACCTCTCCCGATTTGTTTGCGTGAGATATGAATAATCTTTTAAGCGCGCAACACCGGTTGCAAATAATGTTGAGTGATTTTGCGATTTTCTCAGCCTATCCAGGTCAGGTATAGGGTGGAGGCGGAAGGGGGGGTGTAACGGGGGATCGATCAGGTCCTTAGCCAACCTTGAACCTTATGATGCTGATAAACTCAAGTACAAAAAAGGCATGAATTCAAATATAGTCCAACCTGATTCGAAGTGAAATAATTCAAATTATTAAAAACTAGATCATTGGATAATGCAATTCAAGACTTTTTATTTGCTTAGCCATTATGGAAAAATCCTCCATAAACTCAGTTAACAATTTGTTAGCGAATGGGTGATAAAGAATACAGACGTTATTCAAATTAAAGAGAAAGCTTTCACCGAAATATTTTAATTTGTAAATGTAACTGAAAAAGCTTCCGAGAAAACTTTGAAACATTTTTTGACAAGTAACTGTCACCATGTGACACCTGCCAATTGAAAAGAAAAAAAAAATGGTACGCTTTTGAATAACCAACAGCACTGGTGTGGCTAATACACACGAGTTAAATGACAATACGACAATCTTCTCGTAAAAAAAAAAAAAAGAGAAAAACACTCAGAGATCTTACGGAAAGTATTGTTTATTTTCAAGGACGATTAATCTTCGAAGATTTACCTCTGTTCGTTTTAAAATATCACGGAGAGTCAAACTGTAAGTGAATGCAAATGTCTGTTTTGAGTTTTTAACCTGCTTGTTCGTTTTCTGCAATGGTGTGTGTAAAATCTGTCTTTCTTCGACTAGTAAGCCGAAGTCAGTGAGACTCTTTTCAGCTAGACACAAGGGGATTTAATGCGACTTTTAATCACCAAATTCCTCCGGTTTCTGATGCAAAATTTTCGGTAGAAATGTCCAATATCAAGGGATTTGTAAAGAATAGGCGAAAGTGTATTTATAGAATAACTCAAAACTTCGCTCAACGTTTCACAAAAATAGCGTGTTGAAGAATTCAGATCTTAACGAATGAGAGTCACATTGATTAACGTAATTTTTAACTGCACCCACCTCTTGTTGTAACTTTCTGAGTTAATTTTTGTGAAGGATTATTAAATAAAAATTGTTTTTAGGCCGCGTTTCAATCGATTTAAAAACAAATTTAGTACTACCAAAGTGATTTGAGAGCGAGGGAGAAGAAANCAAACCATTTACTGCACAGTTATTTTAATAAGTTAATTTTTATACATGATTGTGGTTGGGATTAGAAACGTTTTTAGTTTATCATCATTATAATTATCAGTCTTATATCATGATCATGATTATTGCTGATTTTGTTATCATTGTCATCATATTGTAGAATGCCCAGATACCTTCTTTGACAACTCTTGGTACATATTTTCGTATGTGGGAAAAAGATGGGACAAGAACAGAGACATCTGTCAGAGTCAAGGAGGAGACCTAGTTTCCATTGAAACAGAAGAAGAATGGAAGTTTATTAATGATAACATCCAAAGGCGCCGTGCTTTGTTCTATCATATTGGTTTGGTAAAAAGGGCTGGAAACTGGACTTGGGTGAGTGGAGGGCCACTGACTATTTGCAAATGGAGTAAAGGGAACCCAAGTGGTGGAGATCTGGCTGGCATATTGAAGCAATTTCCCAGAAACGGACCGACACAGGGCGTATTTTCTGTAGTTACGCCTTATATTGTATACACGCCTTATATTTGCGAGATGCCCAGGGGTAAGACAGAGTTACTCTTCTTTTTAATATTGAACTAAAAACCACAGCAAAAGGTCTTAGGAGTAATGAAACATTATTAAGCAAACGTAGGGAAAACTTGCGTCATCGTAACAGAAATTAAAGAGCTTCTGACAGTCAGGATCAGGATCAAGTTCCCACGTCCATTTGCATGAGTGGAACGTGGTTGTAAAAATATAAACAATCATTCCCATGATGAAAATGCCTAACCCAAGAAATCATGAATTGGGAGAACTAAGAGAATGCGAATACACTTGAGAGAACATATCTCCGCAACCCATTATAGTTTATTTGAGTCTAACTTTAATTGTGCGCTGCGCTGAGAAGTTATTTTTATTTGTACCTCCCATGGTTGTCTGGTTAATAAGCCGTAAAGCTAACCTAACTCAGCTAAGAGCTCATCAGGGACGCTTGGCAAAAGTTCAAGGTTATAAATGTGAGATCGAACCGGTCCTCTTTCCGTACGTTTAGTTTTGAATAATAAAGTACCGGAAATCACTTTTGTTATATCAGATGGACGTTTGAAATTAATTCAAAATTGATTCCTTCTAAAATATTTCTATGTTCGATACACCATTTAAACGCCAAGCTTTTTAAATTTTTTGGAAACAGAGGCGTGAATCGATAAAAAGTCGCTCCTAACTGTTGCTCAGATTGGATCACCCTCGCTTAGTTTGTAATAACCATTGAACTCCCAAACGTGATCAACATTCTCCTTCTCACAATAATATCCATACAGCATCCAGTAAACAGTTAGTGAGCAGTTATTATTCTCTTAATGAGAATAATAAAATACCATCGCTGACATTGTCCAAGAATAACGAACGTAGTCCTAATTATAAGTTTTTCATGCTTGGGATCAATGCAGGCAATCCCGAGCGGGTAGCCAATCAGAAAACAGGTTTGGCTTCATCTTGCACATGGGCACTGCGAGCGATGTAATAGGATCTAGTATTAATTCTTGCAAACAGGTATCACATTTTTGTCCATTTTTTATTTATCTTTAATGTTTTATTTGTAATCAGATTGTTTGAACCGGGCCGTTGCAGGTGCTTGTTTAAATGTAACATAATCAGAGAAGAGAAAGATAATCATTACCTGGTGTGAGACATCTCTCTTCCCAAATGTTACCGGAGGGAAGAGATTCCTCAATTCTGTATCAGGATATGTAAATTTACCAGTGCATTTGTTTTCTTTTTCAGGAGAGGAGGAAAACGGTGGTTAATTATAATGTATCATTAGTTTATCGAGAGGTAGTGCTGCTCAGAAAATACCGCTAATGTTTTTATTTTGGAAAAACTAATTCCTTTGTATCCCACATACACCTTTCTTTTATTTTTGTTAACATTTCCAGCCACTGGCGAAAACTCTTCGCAAGGCTTCTGCCGAGACCACCTTGGAATACCTTGCACACTGGAATATGGCAAGAAGGGTTGGGTACAGAATTGCACCTTTACAGATTATACTTGCAGATTGAACTGTATCGTAAAGAGTTGTGATCACGTGCCAAATCACAACCCCAACGAGTTTTGCGGACAATGTAGCCAGACGTACCGACCATGGGGAGATCACTGTAATGACGTCAAATATGATCGAAGTACCCGTTATCAGATATGCAACGCTACAAGATGCAATATGACAAGCGGCGAACAGAGACTCGGAACTAACCAGACCTGCTACTGTACGGGTGATCAATGCAATCTTAAATGCAATGGGATAAGGTGCAAACAAACGTGCATAGAAAGAAAATCTGGTGAGTATATATATCACAGCATAATAAATAGCTGGGCATATAATAGTCAACTATCTATTAACATGAAGAGCCATCGATTCCTAACCTTTTACAATACTTCAC